ATAAGTACTGTTGAATAAATTAGTATCACATGAGGAAGTCCTCTCTTCACTTTTGTTTTTCCAAGTTTGCTGCAAGCGTTCGACATCTATTTTAGGATTCTATTTGTACCTGTAGTCAATGTAGAGATATTTCCATTAAAGCCTTGTTGGGGAGTAAATTTAACCCTCTCAGCTCTTCTCCTTCTCACACCTCAGTAGTGAGCTCAGTCATGAGAGAACTGGGCAGTTCTTGAAATAGTGCGATGACCAAAAACAGAAGTAAAAACTGTACCGAAATTCTCCTAGTATAGGAGAAGATTCAGAGTACTGGTGGTTCAGAAATCACATAGAGTCCTGGGAGACATAGTGCCACACAAGTCAAATCACTACTACACTTCCTGAGAGCTTGGTCAGAGTCCCACCTGCTTTAAGAAAAATATCATTTGAACAGTGAAAACCTCAACCTCAGAAGAAGCTTAGCTTGGTTCAGACAGTGGAGTTTACATTCTTTTTTTGGCTAGATCCTAACGCCATGGAATGTGTCAGGATGGGATTCAAGCCATAATAAGAATGTCAGCATTTTGACCAAACAATATCCCAGGGAATTATACATTAACTTCTCTGTCTTAAACCTGTCTTAAACCTGCACATTAAACATCGGGTCTAAGAACAGCCTTTGGAGGCTGAAGAGATGTCTCCGTGGTTAGGAGTGCTTGCTGATTTTGCAGAGGAGCCATGTTTGGTTCCTGCTGCCATATAGGCTCATAACTGTCGCAATTCCAGTCCCAAGATCCCAGCCCCTCTTCTGTCCTCCTCGGGCACTGCATGCCAATTGTGTACATATATGCAGGCAGGCAAAACCCTCACACATATAAAATAAAAAAGAACATCCTTCAGATCCCACAGTTGCCTAGTTGAAGGCATGTGGATGAAGGGATAACTTCCTTGTGTGATGCCAAGATGCTATTCACCACATGCACCCACTTCACTTCCCTGTACACTTAGAGAAGGCCTTTGCTTATGCGGACAGAGAGCAAGGGCTTTGCATGATTAGCAACAGGTCTACCTCAATGTCTGTGGGTACTTTGGAAATGGGAAGCCACATAGTGAGAACTCTGACTGTGCTGTGGATTGGGGGCATTCCCTCACAGCACCAGCTGATCAAACAGAGGCCCTACTGGGTCTGAAGCCTTCCACACCACACCGGTGTCTGTGAGTAAACAGACCTGCATCATCATAGCATCCACAGCTCTCACAGCTGCAAACTTCAGTGATGTCAGAAGCACCTGCAGTCTGCTTAGAGCCCCTACCCAGTGCTTCTGACTCCACTGGTCTAGGACAGGCCCAAGAAAGCTGCTTTGTAAGATGCCTTGGGGTATACAAACACAGGCTATGCTTGGAATGCCATCTTTAAATCTTTGTTTTTGAAGAGTTATTTATTTGATTTTATGTGTATGAGTGTTTTGCTTACATGTATGCTTCTGTATTATGTTTGTGCTCAGTATTGTGGAGGGGAGAAGAGGTACAGGATCCCCTGGAACTGGAGTCATTGATGGTTGTGAGCCACTGGCTGGGGCCTCTGAAAGGGCAGCAAGGGTTCTTAAGCACTAGCTATCTCTCCAGCTTCCATCTGTAAATCTTAATGGGGCCGCTGAAAAGCCATTACTAAATCCTTCAATGAGTTCATTGTTGTCACTGTTCATCTAGGCATTCACAGAGAAACTAGCAGCTATCTCTACTGTTACCTATGTTTGGGTCTTTCCTCCCTCTCTCCTTCCCTCCCTCCTTCCTTCCTTCCCTCTCTCCTTCCTCCATCCCTTTCTCCTTTTCTTCCTTCTTTCCTTTTGCCTCCTTCTTTTAGACAGAGTCTAGCCTGGGCTAGCCTCAAACTCATGATTCTCCTGCTTCTGTCTCCCTAGTGCAGGGATGATCGACATGAACCTCCATACCCAGCTACTTCTAGAATCAGGCACTTCCAACCTTTTGACATTACAAAGGGATGTTGTCATCTACAACATTCATGCCTGGGAAACACACAGATGGAATTTTTTTTAATTGAAATAAAAAAAAAATCTCATATAGTTTTAAGGAGTTTGCGTTGAGCTGTGTACATAGTCATCCTCAGCCATGTGCAGCCTGGGTGCTGGACAGACTTGTGGGAGTCCAGCTTTTACACCAAGGCAGGTCAACCACACCTTTATGTGTTATTGGGATGATGAACTTAACATGAGAAAAGAGCAAGGACTGCTTGAGGGAGCATCAGATCACTGTCAGTATCGCCTACACATCATCAGCACTCATATGACCTGGTGAAGAGGGGAAGAGGTATCCTACCCCCTATCTGCTGCTGCTATCTGCTCCCAGCATCTCCTGGAATGGAGGGATAGTTCAGGCAAAGTGACAGGGAGGCTCTTTAGCAGCTTGACACAGGCTGACTCCAATACAGGTGTGTGCAAATCACAGGCATGGAGACAAATTCACCCCATCCTGGATGCTTGCACCTTGCAGACATTCACTCATGTTTTTAGTCAGTTACTATTTCTAAGACAAAAAAAAAAAAAAAAAAAAAAAAAAGCAGAGCTCTGCTGCTGCTGCATAGAAATCTGCCCTTCCTCCCCTTCCCCGATGTGTGTGTGTGTGTGTGTGTGTGTGTGTGTGTGTGTGTGTGTGTGTGTGTGCTCCTCATGACCAGCTCTTTTGAGACAGGGTCTCTCATTGGTTTGGAGCTCACAACTTAGGCTAGATGAGCTGGTCAGCAGTGAGGCTCCCTGGATTACAAATATATGCCATTGTGCCTGGCGTTGTCACGTGGGTTCTGGGGATTGAACTCAGGTCCTCCTGAGTAAGGCACGTACTTTCCTGACTGAGCCATTTCCTGGCACCCTGTTAAAGAGTCTTGCCTGGAAGACCTCAGAGGGGTCTGCTATATGGGGTAGAAAGGCCTTCCACTATATAGCAACCTAGCAAAGCCCGTGCCCTCATCTGTGCCTTCACCCTCAAGCATGTTTAGGACAATGTGAGTCCCTGAGGAGTGCTGGAGTTTCATGTGTCTTCTTCACTAAAGGAAGAGGAAAGCTCCAGGCAATTACTAACTGGAAATGACTTCGACAAAACAGGAGAAGCTAAGGGGAAAGACTACTCCAGGAACCAGGAAAGGGCTCAGCCTGCTCGCTGGGCAGAAGGGGAGGGAGAAATCCATAAGGCTGTAGGTGAAAGTGTTACAAAGTGAATGGGTCTGGCTTCAGGAAGGAGAGGAAAAGCAGGAAGAAGTGAGTTCGGAGCCTGTGGGGAGCGTGGAGCAGAGCCAGGTCACAACTGAACCCCAGTGTTCTGCACAAGGGCAAGGAACTCACCTCTCCAAACCACAATGTGCTGAAGAGACAGAGACAGAGAGAGAGAGAGAGAGAGAGAGAGAGAGAGAGAGAGAGAGAGAGAGAGAAGGAAGAAAGGAAGGAAGGGAGGAAGGAAGGAAGGGAGGAAGGAAGGAAGGGAGGGAGGAAGGAAGAAAGGAAGGAAGGGAGGAAGGAAGGGAGGGAGGAAGGAAGAAAGGGAGGAAGGGAGGAAGGAAGGGAGGGAGAAAGGGAGAGAGGAAGGGAGGAAGAAGGGAGGGAGGAAGGGAGGGAGGAAGGGAGGAAGGAAGGGAGGAAGATGGGGGAAAAAAGGAGACTGCGGACCCCCCCCCCCACTTCTGTCACCTTCAGTCACTAACCCAGGTCCTGAGGATGCATGGTGTGACCTGGGCTAACAGGAATGTAGAGGAGATTCGACAAGGGTTTGCCTTTACTCATTTGTTTCCATTTTCCCTTCCCAAACACTGGTCAGTGAATGGCAAGAATTAGCACATTTAACCCTTTGGTTTAGAGAGCTGAGTAATCTAAAAATCCAGAATTTACAAACCAAAAGTAATCTGTTTCTTACAAGAGCTACCCCAGCGCATATCAAATATTTTACTGTTTTTATTCCCATTGTTCCCCCAGCCGTGAGGCCTTCTATACCAAGATAAAAAGATAAACATATACTCTTAATAGAACTAGGGCTATTGTTTTGCTTTGTACTGGAAGACTCCAGCTCCAGCCACTTAAGAGTCACGGTAGCTCTTAAGAAGCAAGGCTAGGCATGGCAAGTTGCAAAATAGGATATCAAAAACACAAGGCCTTGGCCAGAGCTGTGAAATCATCCCCTGTCTATGTGGGACCTCCACATACACTTCAAGAGTCCTAACTACCTTAGTCTGTTTCTTTCTTTATGTCCTTGGCTCAGGGACAACTCAGCCACTGAATTCCTTGAGTGCTGGCTTGTTCAAATCTTATTTCTGTGGGTTCACTACTCCAGAACATGGTAGGCATTTAGTCAATGCTAAAGGAACCAACTGATGTTCCAAATCAGTAAGTAGCAGATGTCTGTGGCTTTGGTGACCCTCATTCTAATATGTGGAGCTGAGGGGCTTGTGCTTGGTCTCCAGGTTCAACTAGTTGAGGGCCTAACCTATGATAATCCATTTCTCATGCAAGCCAGACATGTCAACAATGGAGGTTAGAGATGATGGCACCAATGTGGCTCTTCTAGGAGCCTCCCTCCCTCTATCAGGTTAAATGGGTGGGGGGAGAACCTCCTTTTAGCACCAAGAATCTTTAATTGTACAACTACAGTGTGTCAAAAATAAAAATGCAGAACACCAATAAACTCTGCAAAAGGGTCCTCCCATTAGCACCCAGGCCTTACTCTAGGGCCCTCCAGAAATGGCCTCTGTGTGGATCAAAGGATCAATATGTTAAAGTCCTCTGTAATCCCTGCACACATAGCTCACACCTGGTAGTCATTCTTGCACCTCCAAACTAGTCATCAAACTCTTCTCGTGAAATTGACTAAAAAAAAAAAATCCAGGCACTCTTGTGACTGCTCACCTACAAGCTGTTTTTCAAAATCCTGCCTCCCTTCTGACCAGTTCCCCACTGGAGACAGACATAAAAGACTTGGTATCACCATGTCAAAGTAGGAAGAAAGGGGACAAGTATACTCACCAAGGTACCCACAGAGCACCTGGGACTGTCTGGAGCAAAAGCTGCCCACTGAGCCAGAGGGTGTTGTAACAACTGGGCAGACAGCTAGGAGTTTTAAAAAGCAGTCATTAGCTATTTTACTGAAGACATGCCCAGCCCAGAACTACACTAAGATTCCAAGTAGAAAAGAGACTTGCTGGCTAGTCTTACCATCCCCCCACCACCCTTCAAAATAGCAGGCATCTGATAACCAGGGCAAGACATTAAACACTCAAATGCATTGCTCCCACCCCGGATTTCTAGTCCCTGGTCTCCTGTTATGCCAATACCCAGCAGCCCACATTGCTCAATGCAATTGTCCTTTTGACATGCTCTCGTAATAAAACAACAATTTACAATTTATATACTGAACTGGGGGAAAGTAATACTTTGAATTTTACTGAAGATGAATAAGAAAGGTCTTGACCCCCTGGGACAAAAGAGTCTATTGTTAAGAACAAAGCCTGGGTTTTTGTTTGGCTGGCCTGTTCTTAAAAACCACCTGTCCTCATTTTTCAGCCACATATGAGAACCCATTCACGTTTGGGTCAGAATTCCAAGGGCCTGCTGATTTAGAGTGATGGGCCTACAACTTCAAAAGTCAGCACATTTTGAAAGCAATTAAACATGTCTTCCTTGGAGCTGGGCTATGCAGACACCATGAGGTTTTTTTTTTTTTTTTTTTTTTTTTTAATGTTCAACAGAACAGCAACCAGATTTAAATGCTGCTGCTTTATTCTCAGAAAAAGAAAACTCACTGAAAAAAAAAAAAAAAAAACCCAAAGACACACATGTACATATGCATTTCAAAGGGAAGAGAAGCTGCTGCTGAGTGTCAAAGCAACACCTTACTTCTCTCCAATGAGATTTTTTTTATGTGAGAAGATGGGGATTAAAATCAGTTGATTTCCCATGTCCTTACCCATGTTTCTGTATGGACAAGGCAAGCACATACCACAACCCCCAACCCCCAAGAAGATGCCAGACTGGCAGAGAAAAGGCAATTGAGTGATATGAAGCTTCTAATAACCTGGCTGGTGTGACGACAGCAGACTCTCCTACATCCAGGTCTGGCACGAATACTGTTTTTTTTCCTATAGCTTTGCATCAGCTTAGAATCTGTGTGCCTTCTGTTTGCATGCTTGCATGGGTGTATCTTCTAGAGGAAACAAAGGCCCTTCAGAACAGACTAGAACCTTCTTTTAACAAAGACAAAGTCCTCATGGACCCCTCCACACATGTCACTTTAAATAAGACAGGGACAGCCCTTCCCACATTCTGTAACTGACTATCTCCAACATCCACCCCACTAACAAGACCCCAGTGTCACGTTCACACGTGGGTGGATATGACTTTCTAGCCGGAACACACTCTTTGGTTCTGAAATGGGCAGTGTGGCAGGATAGGGGAAGTCTAGTGATGACCCTTTCACTGCACGTGATGTTGTCATGTTGCTACCACATGCTACTTCTGGCTGGCATCTGCACCCATATGCTCCCCCAAGTAAGCAACTGTGCAGATTACTTTTATGGTTTCTCCCACAGTCTGATAGGAGAGGGTATCTCTCACCCTGAGGGTAAACTGTTTGTCACAAGAATCGCAAGTTTTCTCTTTCATATCTGACTTTTACAAAGTCCTGTTGAGAATTTTGCTAAATAAAAATCTTAAGGAATATAATCAGAGATGGGCAGAGATGCAGAGGGAGCTCCTTGCTCCTCTGTGAGATGGCCCTATGTGTTTCTTGGGGGGAACCTAGGTCCTTTCCCTGGGAAACAGCACCTTCTTCAGGCCAGTACATGCCCTGATACTGAAGAGATACCATTCTGCCTATTGAACTTTGATGGCTGACACTGCCCAGAGTCATCTAGACACAGGGGAGAACCGAGGCAGGGAAGTGCTGCCCTTGAATCCTTAAGTATGCACCTTTGGTTTGCTTCTATTCCACAATGAAGCTGAAATATTAATATCCTTCCTTGTCCCTTTTCTTTCTGTCCTGATGCCTTTTTTTCTTTTTTCTTTTTTAAGCAGGGCAACGGGAAAGGGATCTCTGGTGGAAGCCAATACCACAGAGAGTAAGATCCTAAATCTCATGGGGCTACTAAGACAATAGTAACTTCTGGGGCCATAGAAAAAAGGCCTCCCTGTTTAAGCAACAAACATTCAAGTTACACAGAGACTGTATAAGCTGTGATATGGATGCACATTTTTGGTTTTATAGGTGACTGGAGCTCTGGTGGTCTGTGACACTTTGTGAGACTAGAAAGACAACAAAAGCCCCGACACATTCATATCTTAGAGATGAAACTGGTCAGAAGAACCTGGACACTCAAACTGAGAAAGAGAAATGTGAATTTTACATACAGACTATACGATGGAGTATTATGCATGGATACTTTACAAAGTAACTAAAGACTAGGAAGCAAACAATGAAAGCTCTGGTGGTTGTTTTAGCCTAGGACTGGTAAGACAGAAAACAATGTAATGAATCCACTACTTACAAAGGGTAACTTTCTCTTTAATCTAGCTGGTTGCATAATCTTAAGGGACCCTGAGATTTAGCAAAAGGCTCTCCTAGATTCTAAGTGGTAAAGAGTGGGATTAGTAGGTTTCAAATTTGACTATGACCAAGAGTCCCCTCTGGTGCTGGTTAAGAATGCAAATTACCAATCTTTTGTCTCTCTCCTGATTATCACTCACAGCTGTAAAAGGGGGTCTAGAAACCTGGCTCTGAGCAAAGAGGTCAAGAGCTTCTAGAGCACCTGGCTTACAAACCACCTGGGAATACTGTGTGGAATTTGTTGAGTGAAATTGAATGGCATCTAAAACTCTCAATCAGTGCTGAAGAGATGGTTTGGTAGTTAAGAGCACTGGCTACTCTTGCACAGGATCTGTGTTCAGTTTCCAGACTCAAAACCTCCAAGGGCATGACATGCACATGGTACACAGATGTACAAGCAGGCATGCTCATACACATAAAATAAATTTATCTTTTTAAAAGTCTCAATAAACTTCATGTCAAATTAGCTCCTGAAAAATCCTCCCACATTCTCCACACCCACAGTATCTCTCTTTCAATAAGAATAGTTGCACAACTGTGCTACCTTTTCCTCACAATTCTAAACTAGAGGGGCTTTCAACTGTTCCTAGAATCTTCCTACAACTGTTACTGGGAAAGAGAATACTGGGGCTTGACTCAAGGCCTTCCTTCCGTACCATGAACACTTGTGAAATGAGAACTGGCCATATGCACACTGTTTCATTACTGATGGTGACGTTTTCTGACAGTAGGATTCTTCCAAACTGTGTTCCCCTCCAAGACATAGTAGTGCCCACCACTCCTGTCCACAGAAACAGAAGAAAAGTGGCAGGTCAGGGCATAGTTCCCTTAGGCCTGCCTAGTGACCTCAACTAACACATTCAACAACCTAACAACCTGACTAATAGGTGAAAAACCAAATCAGCAAGGGTAGCTGTTGTTTACTGTTTTGTTTTAGTGCTTCAAGATACCTCAGATATAAACAAGACAGGGAAAGGCAGGAGGAACCCAGGGCTTCACAGACATCTATCTCTACAAGAGGTCCTTGCTGTGTCAGTGCCTGGAGTGAAGGCTACAGGTCAGATCTTGTGCTGCCTCACCAGGCAGGAGTTTGGTAGCATGCCTCCCTTCATCCCTATTCTCAACTTCCAGAGCTTCAAAAGCCAAGCAACGAAGTTGGATGTGCAAAGACATACTAACAGAGAGACATCCCAGGGGGCAGTTTCTTCAATAACCCTTTTCCTCTGCAAAGAAATGGCCTTTATCTGGGACTGCTCTTTTCTTCTTCTGGCTTAGGGTTGGAGCACACTGTCTACATTTTTCAGGACTTTCTGAGCTAGCTGCTCAATTCCCAAACTTTGTTATTAATCAAGTAGGAAGGGTTTCCATACGACCATAAAGACGTCAGAGCAGAAGTGGAAATGAGATTGAATTGGAGGATGGACTATGAATGGCCCTCGAAAAAAAGAATTTCCCCAAATGGAAAAATGACAAAGTTCTGCCACATCTGGTGCAGACAGAGTAATCGATGATAAACTTGATCTAAGAAGCACTGAGATTACCAACAATGAAACCAGTCCAGAGCTTGAAAATTAAACTGCATTGCCCAGAATATTCCCACTTATGTTTTGGCAACAATAAATATCCCTGTGCTGTTAAAAATCAACCAGGACATACTACCGAGCCATTTTGGTGCTGATACTTTCAGGCAGGATGACTGGAGAGCTCGCCAGTCCTGTTGCTTGGATCCAATTGGAGCACACTTGTTCACAAGAAGGAAGGGATGAGTGTTCTTCTGTCAGCCTGAGGTTATGTATGAATGGTGATCTGTGAACTGGCTTGTTGGGACCTAAGTGGCATTTGCCAGTGTGCTGTGGGCAAGATAGGGAAGGCCACATGAACTGAGCCAGGCTCCAAGTCATGGCATTTTTTTTTTTTAATTTCGTGAGACTGGAAAGATCCTGTTGAATTTCCTGCAACTAATATCACCAGAGAACAGTTCTCACATAGTTACTCCATGACTGTGCCTTCAGATATGTGGAGTCTCCTCTTCAGGAACAACCTGCCTCTTAATTACCAGTGAGGAAAGAGCCAGGAAGGCTTGAGGCCACAGAGACGCTCTCCCTGGGAACTGAGATGTGTGGAGCCTGCTAGTGTGAGGGAAAACAGCTGCCTGCAGAGGGTTGGAAATGCATTCAAACTATTTTCAGACGGTTTGGGCTTCACAACATCCACAGAGGATTTTCCATCTGCCTTTGGTTTCTCAAGTCATTGTGGCTGAAGAAAAATCCTAGCCAAACATTTCTAACTTATCAGGCCTAACGAATCCAAGTGCTGTTTGAGAGAATGAAGGGGTGGTAGCAGTGCACAGGACAGGGTTTGCTCAGTTCTGTAATGCTTCCCCTCTCTCTGAAAGACCTAAACCCAGTTTTCTGGCACCAGTGAAGTGGTGTTCCTAGGCTGCCCTAAGAAGTCCAGGGTTCACATTCACAGAGGAAACATCACACAGGATACTCTTAATCAAGACCGG